ACAATAGCTTTTTAAAAAATTTAGTTTCCCCATCTTAAATTTTCTCGTTAGTGATCTAAATTGCTATAAAAATTGAAGTGTAGTGGAAACATCGCCCGTCTTCGGCCTTCGGTTCTCCTTCTTGATCGAATCTGACCTAGAATTGGGATCGCTGTGTTCACATATCCATGATTTCCAAACCAATGCATCCTTCACATATGTGTCGGCAGTATCACATCTCTATTTATCTCTATCCTCATCTCACGTTCATTTTTTTCTTCTTTAAGTATTTTAAAATAACAGAGCTTCTTCGCCTTTAGTACGATATATTTTGTCCTAAATGATCCGTCTCAATACAAAAATAAATTTCATTTTCGCATTCATCTTAACGAAAGTTTTCTCTTTTTTCGCGTCTAAGCACCAGAGTTCACAATATCATCAGTACATGTGGAATATGTCAAGACTAAAACTAGTTGGCGACGTGTTTTTTTTTTCTTCCCCGGAGTTATTTTTTCTGTGCATCTCGCCACATCTCGCCGCAGGCACGTCATCGGTCTCGTCATTTCACTTGTCACTTGTCTCTGAATACTCCCACATTTATCTTGCGGCTTCAAAAATCATTTCTAGTGGCGGACCCTTGCAGTCCAACTGCGAATAATCACTGATATTGATATCTCCGAAATTAAGACATACGATCAAAAAACCTAGGAAATAGTGTATTATGATTAACATTTGTTGTACTGTTATAATATGTTAGCTAGTTGCATTTCGTCATTTGTAAGTCATTAAAAATGAATAATTTCACAAAAGTTGACAGAAGCGAAAACATTTTGCTTTTTTTAAAACTCTCATGAGGTAAAATGCGTGACCGAATTCGTCGACACAATACGCATAAGCAAGCCAACTCTCCACGAAAGCAATTCACATGCAAATTTCACTCAATTTCACTCACAATTGTCCTTTTCTTTAATACGAGAATTCCCAGCACAGACATTGATCACGAATACGCGCTGAAATAAACGAGTCAAGGCAGAAAAGCACGAGAATACTTTTATTGGAAGCCATCACAAAGACTCCGAGTTCACAATAAAATCCGGATGTCACCTCAATATGGTACTCAACCGCAAACCGCACGGACGAGTTTTAATTAGTTTATAATTCCCAAGTACAAATATTTCAAGATTTAAAAACTGAACATCCTTTCTACTCATAATTATTGTTTTGTTAGAGCATAAAAGTTTTTCAAATCAGCTAAATGGGACAGTGAATCATAATAGTCGCTCTCGGAGAGACGTTACTCCCCATGCTCGTTAAAAGTTTTTCGAGAACTTTTGCTGCTGGTGTTTGTGACGATCGGTTTCTCGGAGAAGGAATTGAATAGGAAAGGGCGAGGTCAGGATCAGAGGGAAAAAGGTGGAGATATTTACGTCGACAGTGCACGTGACACGCTGTTTTTGGGAGGATAAAACAATGATTTTGCGCTCCTTTGTGCCGTATTACTTTGGCTTTCTATTTAATTCCAGTCAATATTAGGTATTGAAATAATTCCTTCCTTCCTTGACGTAACGTGCTTCGTAAGAGGTCTTCGGAGAGCATAAAGCAACGAGCACGAGGGGAAGTCGGAGAGGGGAGCGGGGATCGAGTGGATATTTAGTGATTCCAGACGTGTCATCTTTGTTCATTGGTCCTGTATATGTGGTGCATGCTACCTCCCAGAAGGTGCGGTGTTCTAATCCCGCTAAAAAGAGATATCCGGTGCCGACGTATACGTCCGCTTGAGGTTTCCCTCTCCAGTTATCTCCCAAGGTAGGGCACAGTTCCAGCCCCAATAAGCTGTATGCTCGCGTCTCTTCTCCCAGTATTAGTGTAGTGAAGTGTGAGTAAATGTGTCTGAGTAAGGGGAGAAACAGATTGCGCCCGGTCTATGGTCTATCCCAACCAGCAAAAGGAGAGTTCAACAAAAGTATAGTGAAGCTACATTTATCTCCAGAAGTAAAAGAAAGTCATTTCAGCATTTGGTCAATGAATCAGGGTAACTGGACGAAATCGAGATGGAGATCATTGACCCAGACGCTGAAGTACATTATTTGTTATAGGCATGTTAATTATTTTTAAAACTATAGAATACACATGTAAACTAATGCATTATATATCATTGTTGAAAGAAATATTTTTATTCTTTTTGATTGTACAGTATCTAATTGTATAGAAACATTTATGAAGCAGAAACAATTTTTTGACATGCGTTTACACAAGTGTATCGCTTTTAATTGTTTAATGTCATCTGGCTGTGGATTTGTAATATACTTTTATTATACGTGGATTGCCAGTAGTGAGCTGTTGTACGTTAATGTTAAGTAAAAATATATATTTTAAATAGATCGCGCTGTACGGCTCTCTGGCTAAATTAAATTTTATTTGAAAGAAGTTGAACATTATGATGTATTATTCGAATCTTTTGAAAGCACCTAGACGGATATTTTTCTGCTGGATCTGTATGCAGTTGCTATTTATTAATCTCATTTTACCTCGAGTGCGTGTGTCGAATGAAATTTGCCAGCAGTGACAGGGGAAGAGAAAGGTGGGACAACATGAGAGGAATGAATAATGAGAGTGTGAGTACAAGGATTAGGTTCATAGGATAATGTGATAGGGTCCGAAGGGAGCTCGGAAGATAGAAGATAACTAGGTGGATGGGGATGGGTCTTGGGCAGGACACTACCGAGGTTGTGAAAGGATGTGCTTTGCAAGCTCGCTAGCGAGTGCATATTTTCCGGCAACGTTTGGTGAAGACATTGGAGGTGTTTTCCTACGACAAACGAAAGCTCAAATAATTATTTAAATTATAATTTAACCCTTGTGTTTCTCAGGTGCAAATGTAAATGGTTGTTTGCGTGTCTAATTGCTTTGCACAGTGTTGTTTTGTTGAACCAGAAGGACAGAATTGAGACTATAATGTTCGTGTTTGGGGCGGCACGTTGAAGTTTGCCAATACGTTAGCCATTCAGTTAATTCGTTCTGCTCTCGTATAATGACAATATCCCATTTGGTAAGAGTTTTTGTGTGGGGATCCAACTCAGTGGCAGCCGTGTTTGAATGAGCGGGAGACGCCGCGTCCTAGGCACAAATGTCGTTACACTGTGACCTTCCTCAGGGCGAAATGCGTCCTAAGGAATTTTTAGCACATCGCCCTGAGGAAGATTGCAGCATGACAGCCGAAACGTTGACATCTGATTCTTGGAGGAGGCGTCATCCTGACAGCCAAGTTTTGTGTCCCTACACGTTCGTTAACGCTTGCAATATTTTTATTTCTGAAGAAAAACAAATAAAAAAATTATATTCCACATGTGTGCGAACCTGGATTGCCGAGGGGGGTAAGAGCATGTACCAATTAATGTCACTACTGCGATTAGACGAATTTGGAACTCTTGCTAATCTTACGCACTTATTCCGTGAACAATGTTTCTTAGAAACCGAGGTAAAAACTTACATTAATCTAACGACACCGGAAAACTATTTATTTTGTAGCTTCTTTCTAGTTCAGGAATACGCCTCAACCGACCACAAATCTCGTCGATAATAAGTACAACATTGCCGGTCATTCGTATTTTGTTATGTAGTCTTAAAATATCTTCAGAACTCAATGCATCACCTGTGAGATAGCACAGAGCATATTGCCGACTCATAACAAAATCATTATAGTGACATTTGCCGAAAATAAATCCAAATCACAATGTTAATTAATGTTAAGCAGTGAGACATTGCTTCAAATACATTTGGGGAAATTTCACATTCGGCTGTGAAGTGCTGTGATTAGCTGAAAGAAACCGTAAACGAAGTTCAGTTCTATACGGTGACTGAAAAGTTTTGTGCTTTTTTCATTATGCGATTTCGTGGAAGCCATAGGAATCATACACATAACGATACAAATGTTTTCGACTTTATTTGATGTGTTCTTTAACATACTACGAGCTTTCAATAGCCACCAGTGAATTTACTCGGGTCATGGAATGCTATACGTTCATTTGGGGAGGGGATATCAAAGGATGAGATTTAAATGCTACTACATCTCGCAATATTTGTTTAAGCCACATCTTTATTGATTTAATGAAGTTAGCAGTGTGCACGCGATAGATTAAAAATGGTTATATTATTATGAATTGAATAAGATACTCTGTCAATAAACGTGAAAAGTTCACGAAAACAAAACCGTACTTATATTGAATTATCATAATTAATGTTATTGGCATATTGCTAACCAATGATATATATTGCGCATCACATATGCGCGATTTTGTAATGATGATTGAACTAAAGTTGTTCTACAACGGTTACTGGCACCGGTAAATGTGGCTACTAAGTCGTCTAGGTTGAGAAAATCCGGAAAATCTGGATTTTTTCACAGAAGCCAACATTACTCGATCCTCTCAATGACATGGTTTTAATAAGAACGTTTTCAACCTTCGAATCGCCCCTATGGTTCGCTTTCTCATCGCCATCACACGTCTGCGCCAAAACATCCTGATGGGTCGATTTACATTAGTTAATAACTCGTTTGCGTAACTTTATGCTTTTATTGTTGCAACTAATCTATGTACATGTAACTGGAAACGTCGGCCCTGCCGCGATACGATAGGCAGCTATCCGGTGCTAGCTCGTAAGCCGTTTATGTGAATAGAAAGAAGAAAAAAACCTACTAGAAGTACATGAGAATTGGTCGGGGGAGGAACGTATCGCACATGTCCTTCCCGTCAGCGACAACCGTGTTGTACGTACGACCTTCGTACTGCGTACCTCGTAGGACCTTCGCTTACGATTCGAAGGTGCATGGTTGAGCAGTCCTAAGCCTCGACGATTCTTGAATACGTTTGCCAAAACAATCTGCGAGAGAACGAAATCCCGTCTGATCTATAGTGGTGACATAAAACAGAATTATTACGTAGTCGTTGACTTTGCCATAAACATTCCCATACTTCGGAATTATTCTGCATAAGGATATTCTTACTTCTTTAGCAACATCGATGCTTCGAGAACTAATAAACGCTGTTCTCTGCGCGCCGACGGGGCTCACAGACGTCTTGTCCCGGCTTTGCTTTCCAATCAATAAAACTAAAAATAAGTCCTCTCGCCTCCGCTGATAGCAATTTGTCCGCTTGTGCGCGTGTGCCATCAGCCCTGCTATTTCTGGGCCCATTAAATACAAAATGAAGCCACGTAGAAATCGCTCCCCGTATCCAGCAAGCGGTCATAATGGAGTGGTAGGAAAAATGTTTCTATGAGAAAAAATGGCCAGTTTTCGCTCACACATCCAATAAATGAATACCCAGTTAGATAAATAATAAGCAGCCACAAAGTTATTTATTACGAGTTTTCAGAACTGAGGACCTATTATTTTATCGTTTCATTATTTTCCTGTTTCGTTTTAGTTTTAAAATACTTAGCAAATTCCAAAATAATCTAAATCACAGACGGTATTCTTAACAGGACAAAGTCATTCACTCTGAACTCCCAACAGATTTTCTCTCCGCAAATAATGTCAGATTTCTTAAGTGACATGTCACACTTTTTCGAAAGCAACCTCGCACACGGCAAACAGCCTAAAATAAATCATCTCGCGACCTGTGTGGTAGTGTAATGAATGTAAGTGTATGTGTATGTAGGGGAACAGCCTAGGATAAGAAAGAGGAAGAAAAGATCGCATGTGGTTCTTAACCCATTTTTAGAGTACTGCTTCGGCATTCGCTTTGTATAGGTCGGAGTAATCATGGAAAACTATACCGATCAGCAGAGCCGGCCGCTATAATTCTAAGACAGTGGGAAGATCTTTGCCGACATATTTCGCTTCGGACGTTAGCGCTTTGCTAATTAATTAATAATTCTCTGTATGAGTGAGTCAGTATGCAAATGATATATACAACATGTTGACTATCTACTTCATTTATGATAGTTATCCTCATTATTTGTGAAAAAGATCCAATTCTCTTGCTACCGTTTTCATTATTTATGTTGGGCTTGATTCTCCATCGGCTGATTCGTTCACTGTACCCTGCGCCCTGTTGCAGGGCCGCGCCCGAGGGAGGAGTGCCCGCGTCGCCTAGCGGCGCCAACCTCAGCGCCGGCGACGGCAGCGAGGTGGTGGGCGGGCCGCGGACGCCGCAGCAGATCGCCGCGCAGAAGCGCTTGCAGCAGACGCAGGCCCAGGTGGACGAGGTGAGTTTCTGCCACCGACGCACGCGCTGCGGCGCCGCGCACTGCAGGCGAGTCTACGCAGTTTGTCTCCCCCTGCTCCCCCTCCTGCTTCACGCCTCGCCTACATCCTCGCATACCCCTCTCTATTCCGCCTTGGTATACTTCTCGTTCTCCCTCCTCGCTCTCCCTCCTCGCTCTCCCTCCTCGCTCTCCCTCCTCGCTCTCCCTCCTCGCTCTCCCCCTTCGTTCTTCTTCCTCGCTCTCCCTCCTCGCTCTCCCCTCGCGCTCGCCCTCCTCGCTCCCCCTCCTCGCTCTCCCTCCTCGCTCTCCCTCCACGCTCTCCCTCCTCGCTCTCCCTCCTCCCTCTCCCTCCTCGCTCTCCCTCCTCGCTCTCCCTCCTCGCTCTCACTCACCGCTCCCCGTTTTTGCTTCTTGTCGCTTCAGTCCTCTTTCCCATTCCGAATCTCCACGCTCAGTCCCCTCCCAGTTCGTGAAATGATTGCACCCGAAAAGAGTTCGATACGATTTTATTCACAATCCGTTTACATAAACAGGCCGTCAACACAAAGATACAATTAGTATCTACAGCCAACTCCCAAACTCAAGTCCAATAAAAACGTAGCTATGTCAACCAATCGCTCGGAGAGTAAACCGATTATACCACCCGAAGCATCAATTCAATTTAAGTGAACAGAACGATCGCCGATTCAGAGGCAAGGGGTGAGCCGCTCCCATCTGGCGCCTTATATTTCCTCTTCGCCGAGGGAAAAGCAACCCTCCCCTCCTCGTTCTCATAACACGCCCTCGTCTGCTCCTCGCCCCTCTTTTTGGCAGTTCAGTAGTTCTTGCCCCGCCTGGCTGGTGGTTTCTTTGGGTATTACAGTATATTTTATTATACAAATTTATCTCTATATATTTTACAGGGTTAGTCAATAAAAACGTCCACCTCGAATATTTTCTAAGTAATTCAAGATACTGACATCAAATTTTCACGAAAAAATTCAGGTTATTGGGGTAGGTTATAGGGGCACATCAATTATAGATATTAACTATTTGATAGCATTTTTTTTAATTTTAAAGATATGAGATTAATTTCATTTTTAAAAGGAACACTATTCTTATTTTTACACTAACAGAAAGGCCTTAAGAAGACAAATTAATTAAAACCACATAGGTTGGCTTTTGATGAACAATTAACAAAAAGAGTATGGAATCGGCTGAAATCGTAGGTAAACGGACGTTCCTGGCGCGGCACCGGGGAGCTCAGCAGATTCAAAGCCGCAAGGTGGATGGCACTGCAACGACCTTGATAGACCGGGAGCAGCAAGGAAAACAAGTATGATAAGCTTAAAGCTAGAACTTTTTGAGTGGTTAGCCAGTGTTATGAGGAACAGGGAAACGCAAATATGGCGGCCTGTGAAGGTGTTGGCCAGTAGGCCAATTTTTATGATAAATAAATAAAGATATTGTCAGGTATCAATATTTTAATAAGGCCATTTTTTGTTGTATATCGTACGTTACATAGTCAAAGTGTTAAGAAGTAATATGCCATACCGATGTGGCGTCTCAAACTGTACGTGATATTGAATTGAAAGAGTATTTTTTAATGATCTCTTGTATTACGAGCGCAAAGCTAATGTTTTGCTCTAATGAAACAAAATGTTTTTCATTGACGATTATGAATTCACCATACCTTCTCGGCGCCTCTAAGTAGCCGCCATACTGATTCAAAGATTTCCAATTTGTCACTAGGCCATGTAAGTACGTACAAGTAGAGCGTATATTTTTTGGACTCCCCGCCGACCCATTTTCATTAATAAATGCAATACCATACTGATAAGACGTCATTAAATGACCGACATACTGAAAAATCTTTCTTTTTTTCAAAATTTTTAAAACGTCTTTAGCAAGCGCTGGGAAATAATTGTATAATTTTAACAACAATAAAAAATGAAAAGAAATAGTTGATTTGCAACCTTTATGACATATTAGGAACAAAATAATCCATTAAAAGAAATACTATGCATATTTTTGTATAGTACTTTTAGATAGATTTATATGAAATGTCTCTGAGATTAATTTTGAAAATTTTCTGGGTTGGATATCCAAAATGGTGGGGCGCTAAAAAATGTGTCTTAACAGATAAAGAATACACCTTTTTTACTTAATTGTCTTGACTTCTCTAGCTTTTTCTGTCTGTGGGACAGACAAAACGCGCTCTCAAACAAAGAATTGAAGCACATGTTAATAACATTAAGTAGACAGATAAAAAAATTAAACTCAATTCGCCTTCATATTTTAATTATTTCATTATCAATATCCCCTTGATATCTTCATTATTTTAATTTTGAAAGCCCTGCCATTTTGAATAATGAATCCAGAAAATATTCAAGATTAATCCCAGAGATATTGCGTATAAAAACATACGATACAATTAATGCCATGATGAAATTGAATTTATTCGCAAACATTTATGACAATGTTTTGTCTAAATTAAGAATACTCTAAAACATATTAATACTATGTGATATATTCAGTTTTTCTTTATTTGTGTAAGTGTACTCCATTTTTGATCGTTTCTTCCAAATTCCATCTCTGCTTTTGCTTGATTTCATTGAAAACTTTAGCAAATGATAACGACTATTTTTTACATTAATATACTCCTCTCAATTCATAATTGCCCCTTTCTCCTTGAAGGGAGGACGTATATATTCACAATAGGAATGTTTTTCCTTATTTGTATTTAGTATATTGGGTTTATCTTTTTAATTTTTCAGAGGTTTTTATTAGTAACATATTTTGCTAAGTTCTGCTATTTATATACTATTTTTATTCCTACATATATTTTACTTATACTTGTTTTATTCCATAATTCCATCTCTGTTTAGTGTGAAATTTATTTTTAATACTTTCATTCAAAACAATATCATAATTTTTTTCATTTACAGACAAATATATTATTTTTTGTTCACACATGATGCGTATAAAGATTAGTGAAAAGTCGCGCTCCATTATCACAGGAATTTTTTAAAAAGGTGTACATTGCTTGACCGGAAAGAACAAGAAAAAATACCTGAGTGTTAATATGCTGATTGCCATAGATATTCGGCAGTATTTTTCTTTTACAAGTATTAGTACATATACAAAAGTCAGAATAATCACAACTTAATTATATTTCGTATACTTTAAAAATATTTTACAAATATACAGGTTTATTCCTCGACTAGATACATAACATCGGTATGGTACTTACAGGCGCCGACAAGGAATGTGGTCATAATTGGTAATGAAAAAGAATTGTCTACCATTAGAGCAAAACATTAGCTTTGGTCTCGTAATTCAAGACGGCATTAAAACAATGGCACTTTGAATTCAATATGGCGTTCAGTTTGAGACGCCACATCGGTATGGCATACTACTCCTTAACTCTTTGACTAACAAACAATATATATCAAGAATTACCTTTGTACGCGTTCCCCAATGGCATAGTTTTTCTCGACACATTCAAAAAATTATGCAGCGCAACGCAGACATCTATAGGCCGTCATACACCTGTCCCTCATAACACTAGCTAACTTCTCAAAACGTTATAGCTTTGAACTTATCATACGTGAATTTTCTTGTTGGCGTCTGTTGACGGTGTGGCGAACTGCCTATCACTTGTGTTCAGGGGATGCATGACTCATCAAAAACGCGAATCATCAACAATTTCTCCATAGACCCAATTTAATTAAAAACACTTTTTAAATACTCCCGATGCTAATACGAGCAAAGCGAGAAAATTTGAGTGAAAACGGTCGAGTAGTTTTGCGTGTATATGCAAAAAGCAGACGAAGAACCCCTGTGTCCTAAATCGTTTGGTGAAAATTTCATCTCAGTACCTTGAAACGTCAGAACATATTCGAGGTGGACGTTTTCATTCAATAACAGCGAAAATAAATCTAAGACAAAATAAATCAGACTAAGCGACCGCGTGATTCCCCCGGGATATCTTTAGGGCTCCTAATTTCACAACATTCGTTTTTTTAAAACAATATTAACATTTTATTTGGCAACAATGTTCTGAAGCAACGTACTTTTATCAGAACCCTAGTGGAATCGGAATGTAGATTTCTCGTGTGGTGTCGGTATAGCAAAACGTCCAATAGAGCAAAGCATTCCGAACAGAGTAACACTTCCTCTTTTTACCACACGAAACTTGGTTTTTGGAAATTTTCTATCGCAAGAACTTTTTGGAAATAAATGATTTCTTTGATAATGCGATTTGCACTATCAAACATTATTTCACATTAATTTAAATGGCTACACCTTCGCAGTCAATGTCTATAATGTTCCCCATTCAGTTCCGCATATTCTTTTAGCTCACGTTCATTTTGATATGAACTAAGCCATTTTGCCTTGCCTTTCCTCTGCATTTATGTTCCTAATTTTTCCTTTCAAATAACTTTTCTAGAAAATAGTTAAGTCCAATCACAAAATCAAACAGATTTTATTTTTGACAAATTAAAGTTATTTACTATTTTTTTCAAATGTACTGGCTCTCATCTCTAACACGAGTTCTACAGTATTTACTAGGCTGTCCGGGTTACGCCGCGTCCATGGCGAAGGTGCCGACATTTCGGTCGCCATGGACGCGGCGTCACCCGGACAGCCTAGTAAATGCTGACCCCGGCCGCGGAAGCCTACGCTCTCACGAGTTCTACAGCTAAGCTTGCACTAAATGTTCCTATCTGTTATCTAGATATATGTTTATTCATTCATTTCATTTATATATATGTTCATTCGTTACTATCCATGTCACAATCAGAGTCTTCCTCTCCTGTATCCATGTTTTTGCACTAATTGATGTCACATTCATCACGAAAAACTTGGCTGTTTTCCTTATTAAACATTTGCCCCCCTTTTTTGGTATTTATAATCAATGTCTATCAAAAACACGACCCTTTAATTTGCTAACCCTGTTTTCCAGACACTAGCCTTAGCTTCAAGTTAGACTCTAGTAGTCTTCTCTGTTCTCCAAT